AGGGTCATTTCACAAAAATCGAATAAAAATATTCGGCATTTCCAAATAACATTTTCTATTTCAGATCATTTGTTTATAGTACTAGAATAGTTCATTACCACCCGAGACAGGTTTTTCCAAACGCGACAGCTTTTTCGCATGACTGTATAAAATATAAAAAACACATAAATTATTAACTTGACGTATAATGGTTTAATAAAGGCATACAAGTGGATGGAAGTCTATCCGCTGGATAAGCGTCCATCCAGTGGATACACACTTTTTTGCTGGATACAAATATTTTTAGTAAAATAAAGTCAATTTTGTCATTAAAAAAGAATTTATTTTAAATTAATAATTTTTTTAAAAAATAATATTACCAAATGTTGTCATCTGCCACATTATTTTAATCATTCAATATGTTAATAATTATACTTTTATTAACATTATTTTTTATAATTTAACATTTTTAATTTATACACTAATTTATTCATAATATCGTTAATTTTTTACTTCATTGAATACATCAATTTCAATTAAATTTGTTCGTTAATATCTGCTCCTTATAAAAAAATCGTTAAATAACATATCAAAAATATTAAAACAAAACTGTTTTTAAAATTGTTTTTTATAACGGTATCAGATAAATGACCTTGTTAATGATACATAGTTATGATGAGTAATTTACACTATGATCTACAAAATGTATTCCGATATTCCAAGTATAGTTTTATGTTGGTAGTTAAATTAAAAGTATAGTAAAACAAAAAATGAAAAACTTGAAATAAATTTGGGTTATTTTTTTCAAAATTTTGGAAGATCACCCTAAAAAGTTGTTGTAAATGGATCGATTTTGGTGGATGCGTTATAACAGCCACATTTGGGCTATTACTTCGGGATGATTGGTTTATAGGATTTTTGACGTTTTCAACAAAAAATAATTACATATTTAACAAATCATGTTCAATAATACAGATTTTTTTTGTTAAAAACAAAATTAATTTCTTTTTGTAAAACTTAACTTATTTTATGTGTTTTTTATTTATATTAAAAAAGAAATTTAGTAAATGTTTGATTTGTCAAAATTTATCTTTTAAACATTCATAAGAACTGCAAACAGAAATGTATTATTAATAAAATACACTTTTATTGTTAACTTTAAACATGTTTATAAAATAAAGTAAACAATAATTATTTTAAAATATTTATTTGTTTGTTTTTTATAACGGTCATATAATTATAGTCGGTGTTATTTCTCATGTAACAATTTACAGATTTTACCGATATCTTTTTTTATTTTTGTTTAAAACGCGTTCTTTACCAAAGTCGGACTGTTTGATTAAACTAATCAATATGGTTTTGTTAGTTAGTTAGGTTTTAAATAATTATTGTTAAAAAATATTTATTATATTATTAATTAAATATAAATCTATAAATAGTTATTTTAAATGTTAATTTCACTTTCACAAAAAACAATGTCGTCAATCCACTTTATGACAAACAATGTCAAATAGTCGCATTAACAATTATAACGACAATACAAACATTATTCTCGTTATTATCAAATGACAATATACTTTTAAAAAAACAACCAAAGATATCAAACCATTATCAGACCCTATCTTTCTTTCAAATGCTTTACTTTTTTTTTAAAAACAAAAAATACATTGAATTTTTTCGTTTATCAGAAAAAAATTCAATGTAGCATCTAAAATAGATAAAGTTGTAACTTCACATAAGACTAAACCGGCCATCAGTATTTTTTTTCTTGAACAAAAAGCACTAGACGTAAAAAATGCGTTTTTTATAAATATATAAATGAGATCAAAAAAATTTAAAAATAAATGATATATAAAATTGCTATTATATTAAAATGCATTCTTCAGCAGTTTTTACATAGTCGACACTACAGCAAGAGTTCGGACATTAGGTTTTTACTACTATTATAATGCAATTTTAACTTTAAGTCTGAAATATAATCGACCACTTTTTTCCAGATATAGTAAAAAGCATCTATTTGTGGGTTTTCAAACAAAGAAAAATATTTATTTGTGGGTTTATCATGGAATTGTGTAGTAAATTATTTTTACCATTTTTCCATTAAAAACCAATGTTATAAAAATATTGTAGTTTTTTTAATTATAATAAAACTATATTATTTATCTAAGTGTACCTAAATTCAAGGTTCGAGAGCATAATAATTATTTGTGGGTTTTGCATTTGATTGGTCCATTGACCCACAAATAGACGTAACCCACAAATATAATAACCCACAAAAAGACACTTTTTACTGTACTAGTAATGAGAAGAAATTTTTATTGTTACTGTGAAAACATCGGAGTAGCAAGACAAACTTATTACAATTATATTTTTCTCTGACTTGTGCGGCAGAATGGGTTTGCAAAAGAATTGTCAGTTATTTTATTTAAAAAACACAAAAAATCCAAAAACAATTTACACATTTTATCTAAACAAAAACAATAACCAAAATTTCAATTTTATTTTTTTAACAAGTTTTTTAGTCTCGTTCTTTTTAATCGGTTAACACTTTCATGTTAAGTATGACCAAAAAATAAACAATTCAAATTTAAGTTGATTAAAAAATAAATAAAAAATTGCAAAAATTTGTTTTGTGTATGAAGGCAAAAAGGATTTAGGTTAAAAAATAAGAACTTGTTATAATTACGTTTTTGTTTTGAAGGTGTAAAAATCTCTTTTATTCATAATTGAATAGTGGATGTAAATTTAAATCCTATAATTATAATTATTTTCTAGTTTTTCCTTGTTAAAATTAATTAATTGTTTACAACATTATTAACACTTAATCGGATAATCGTTCTTATTGTTTGTTAATATTACACCCCTTTAACCGCTTTTTATAATAAATCTTGTATTCCTGACATCAGCTTTTTAATATTATTAACAAGTAACATTTTGTGAAAATTAGATTTGTTAGTTCTCAAAATAAAAAACAAAATTTAAATGAAACTATATTAAAAGTAATAATATGGCTTATTCACGTCAGGTGGTTGATTCTTAGTTTTTCAAATTCCGATGTAATGATGATGGTCAGTATATTCCCCTTTTTATTGTTTTTATCATCTAAATATTCTCAACAAACAAACCCACAAAAATGGGAACTATTTATTTACTTATTTTAAAAAATCTAGTAATTTTATCCTGCTTAATTGCTTTACAATATTATAAATGTTATTTTTACATATTGAATTCTGCATTTTTGAGCAGAATAGCTTAATTGGGATAGCCCAAATTGACCCAGTAAAAAAATATCTTCAGTTAAATAAATGAACTTTAGCCCTATCATTTTATTTTTTACAAAAAAGTTCTTGTTATTTTTATCAAAACACGGGTTTTGATTAAATAACTAAAAAACAAGTATTATTTTTAAAAAATGACTTTTATATATGCATAGTTTATTAGTTAAATATAACAATAACAAAATATAGTTTACTTTGGGCTAATATTCATTTGCTGGGCGAATGATTATTAAAACAACTGTATGAATTACATAGTATATATTAATTTTAAAAATTAAAGTTTTTAGTTTGAAACCATTTTATAAATGATGTTAAAAAAATATAACCCAAAACCTCATTTTTTCATACTTCAAAACGACAACTAAAATAAAATCAAATAACAACTTGAGATGTCGCGTCTTGAAATGATATATTTAATGCAAGTATCGCTGTATCTCCCAACACTGTCAGATGTATTTACCTTTATTCAAGTGAACCACTGCGCCAATTCCGCAGTGACTTCTCTTAAAGTCAACCCGTGGTTTACCTTAACACAAGACATTGAAAGATTTTACGATTTATTCCACCCCGACACGTTGAACTGCAACTTCTTACCAATAACAATTGATTATTTTTTAAAACCAATTCATATCAGAAATTGCGTTTTAGAAAACACTCCTGAAATAATTGAAAATATAACACCAGAAATTTGTGAAAAAATGACCAGTTTAGATATTATGGATACATTTGTGAATGAGAACAACAACCCACAAAAACTATTTCAAATGATTATAGAAACTTTACGTCAAAAAATAACCTTGTCAATCAACCATTTCATATATTTTATCGACTTCTTTGAACAGTATGAAACTCGTGAAAATTTTAAAAAGGTTTTTCCCAAAAACATTTTTGTTTATTTTGATACAAATAATAAAACTTTCAAAACAACAAATGAAGTCATTAATATACTATTAAATAAAATTAACGAACTTCCTTTGAAATACGCAACACAAATTGATATTGATTGGACTTATACCATATTATCAATGGAAAATATTACTTTGACACAAAATTGTCGAAATTATTCAAACAATATTAGTATAGAATATGCAGATTACTTTACACCATTCATCAGTCACAATTCGTTGACATTTCAAACATATAATTTGACTCGAATTTCGGATTTACATAAAGTTGAAAAAATCATCGAAAAAAGTGTAGCTACAAAAGTTACTTTTGTGGGTGACGTTTGTGATTTGAGTCTTTTGCAAATACCAAAATTCGTCAAATCAATTTCACTAAATAAAGAATTTGTACCAAATTTCTTGAAACCAATTTCACCATATAATGGAATTATACCAATATTAATTGGAGGCGAACAGAAAAAAACAAACTTTGTGATTCTTCCTGATGTTTTGAACATTGAAGAGTTTGATTCAAGATTTGTTGATTTCCAATGTTCGGAAGAATTTAACACTGTTAAAAAGGTTGAGATAACGAACGCCAAAATAGTTAAAAAGAAACAAATAGAACTACTTGATAACTGTAATAAAAAACGTATTTGGGAGAACAAGCAACTATTTCCATTTGCCAATGTCGAAGAGTTGAAATTGGTCAATTTTAGTGATGTTTGCTATGAACAATTTAAAAAATTACAACAACTCTCACTATTTAATGTAAAAAATGTTGAGTTGTGTATTAATAAAGACTGTGCAAAAAATGTTACATGTACAAACTGTTCTAACTGCATTTTAAACATCGACTGCGAAAGTTGTGAAACTTTCGAATTCGACATGTGTCCAGATTTTTCATTCAATTTCTTAAATACAAAAAATAAAAATTTAAGTGTCAAAATAACAAATTCTTTAAATTCAAAAATTTCATCAGATACAGACTTCATGAAATTTCTGTCTGTCTACGATTCTTCGAATTTTGAAATAGCGAAAAACACCAAAATTAAGAAGTTGGCGATTTCAAATTCGACACTCAAAAAGAAAGTTGGTGTCGAAGCAGAAGAAGTTGTATTTGAAGCCTTGTCAGAATGTGTAGATATCAATTTCACTTGTACAAAAAGTGTGTTACTGTTTAATATCGAAAACTTCATTTTCTCAAACACATTTGATAAATGTGAAATTATCAAAATCGAGTATTGCCGTGATTTCGATTTCATTTTTGGTGATTCAAAAATACAAAAGCTGGCAATTATTTCATCAAAAGCAATTGATTTTAAAGGAAATTTTAACTCCCTTCAAAAAGTTTAATATTTTGATTCAACATACACTTTCCCATTGGATTTCAATTTATCAAAACACTCAATTTATCTCTCAAAATTAAATGAAAGTGAGACTTGTGAATTTAGCACTTTAGAAAAATATGAAGAAGTAAAGCAAAAGTGTTTGACAAAAGAATACACACCCCTTTTAAGAACGTTTTCACTGGGATTCCCAAAAACAATAGTTACATCATATCAAAACAATTTGTTCCAAACAGTGTTTGAAAGTTTTAAAAATGCTTTTTATTCTTCAATATGCCCCGAACGACAAAACATTTTTAATGAAGTTGTTGGTGCACGTCATATAATTTTTTATGTTAATCCAACACTTCCTCCAAATGTTACAACTGAAAGTGTTACAATTAACAGTCACAATTTTATAATCAAAAATTGTGTGTGCACAGCACTCAGTATTGAACAACACGTCAATTTCATTCCAAATTTGAAAATTGAAAATTTCATTGGGGAGTTCCCGAATTTCTCTACAAGTGCGTTTGGAAGAGTAGAAATGAAAAAATGCAATTTTGTTGCACCTTTTGAATTTATGAAAAATAACTTGACACTCAACGTGATTGAACTGAAAATTTCCCAATGTACCCACTTTAGTATTGGATTAACGAGTAAAACAAAAGAAGTCGACATTGTCGAGTCAATAGGGTGTATCAATTATACGTATGGGCTGGGAAATTACAACAGAATTCACTTTGAACGGTCTCAAATTGTAACATTTAACAAGTCCAACTTGTATGAAAATGTCAACGATTTGTGTTTTGACTCAACCGAATTTTTTAAAATGTTTGAGCAAAAATGCGTGAACAATTTGGTGATGAAAAACATTGTTGATATACCTTATATAATAATTATAATGTCTAAAACGGCAACTTTGAAAAC